GAAATGCAGCCTACATAATGAATGAAAGCATCGTGCCAATGACAATGAAAGGATAAGGACAATTATTAGCCCTTAAAATTAAAACCAAAAGGAAAATGAAATGAGGAACACATTACCTCAATAGAAGGAAAAACAGTCAACAACTTTTCACAGTTTTCAACTGTTAATGACTTCAGTTTGGAAAAGGAATCTGCATGTACTTTGCTCTGCCATATCATCTCCAAGTTTTTAAAGTGGGTGATACTCAACTCTTCCAAGTTGAAAAATGCAGCCTACATAATGAATTAAAGCATCGTGCCAATGACAATGAAAGGATAAAGACAATTATTAGCCCTTAAAATTAAAACCAAAAAAAAAAGTGAAATGAGGAACACATTACATCAATAGAAGGAAAAACAGTCAATAACTTTTCATAGTTTTCAACTGTTAATCACTTCAGTTTGGAAAAGGAATCTGCATGTACTTTACTCTGCCATATCATCTCCAAGTTTTTCAAGTGGGTGATAGTCAACTCTTCCAAGTTGAGAAATGCAACCAACATAACAACTGAAAGTATTGTGCCAATGACAATGAAAGGATAAGGATAATTATTAGTCCCTAAAATTAAAACCAAAACAAAAGTGAAATGAGGAACACATTACCTCAGTAGATGGGAAAACAGTCAATAACTTTTCACAGTTTTCAACAGCTAATGATTTCAGTTTGGAAAAGGAATTTGCATGTATTTTGCTATGCCATATCATCTTCAAGTTTTTTGAGTGGGTGATAGTCAACCGTTTCAAGTTGAGAAATGCAGCTTACATAATGAATGAAAGCATCATGCCGATGACAATGAAAGCATCATGCCGATGACAATGAAAGCATAAGTACAATTATTAGCCCTTAAAATTAAAACCAAAACGAAAGTGAAATGAGAAACATATTACCTCAGTAGAAGGAAAAATACTCAATAACTTTTCACAGTTTTCAACTCTTAAAGATTTCAGTTCGGAAAAGGAATCTGCATGTACTTTGCTCTGCCATATCATCTCCAAGTTTTTTGAGTGGGTGATAGTCAACTGTTCCAAGTTGAGAAATGCAGCCTACATAATGAATGAAAGCATCGTGCCAATGACAATGAAAGGATAAGGACAATTATTAGCCCTTAAAATTAAA